ATCGCTTCGTGTTCCCAGCCTTGCTGAGGTGGCTGGCGGTGTGTTTGCCGTTGCTGAAACTCAGTGCAGTGAAATGGACTGAGCTTGCGACCATGCTGCGATTGCATCAACGCACATTGAGACGGGCGGTGGTGACTCAAAGGCGATCTCGGCGATGGATGCAGGCGTTTCTCTCATAGAACTTGTGGATGCCGCCATTGGTACGATCAGGACACGAGAAAGGATGCAGCCAACGACAATTGTGAGCGGCGACAGTATCTACATGGCCCTTGGGGACTACAAGAAGAAGACGTTTGGGGGTCAGGCTGCCGATGCAGATGGCTGGAGGCTTTTACTGAAGAGGGGAACTCTCACTGAGGATGGTGGGCAGAGGAAAATCATGTGGGGTGATATCCGTGCGGTGGACCCTGTGGCCATGGGCTTACTCAATTCCTGAAGAGGGTGATCGGTGGCGGAGGATCGGGTGTTGTGACGAAGAACGGTTACCTTGTGCTTCCCATGCAGGCAGTAGAAAAGGATGAAAGGAGTGTTGTACTGTCCATGCGTTTCAAAATGCGTATAGAAGCATGGGAGCTCTCGTCCGGTACGACAGGTAGTAACTGCAAGGAACCATCAATCGCGAAATTGGAAGGAAATCTAATTTTGATTACTTCTTGCGCTGCCGGCTACTACGAAGTATTCAGGTCCATTGACTCTGGGTTACGTTGGGAAATGAGTGGTAGGCCAATCACTCGCGTGTGGGGCAACTTGTATGGTCGAAAAGGGTATGGCGTTTGCTGTGGCCTCACCACCGTAACCATTGAGGGAAGGGAAGTGCTGCTTGTTACCACGCCGGTGTATTTGGAGGGGAAAAAAGGTAGGGGTCGGCTTCATCTTTGGGTGAGGGAAGGTGCACGTGTGCATGATGCTGGGCCGATATCCGATGCAGCTGATGACGCTGCTGCCAGTTCCCTGTTGTATAGCAGTGGGAGCGATCTGATTTCGTTGTACGAGAATAAGAGTGAGGGGTCATACGGTCTTGTTGCCGTGCACGTGACTACGCAGCTGGAGCGGATAAAGACTGTGGTGAAGAGGTGGCAGGAGTTGGATGAAGCCTTAAGAACGTGCAGACCCACTGCCACCATCGACCCGGTGAAAAGGGGCATGTGTAGTCGTCCCATTCTTACTGACGGGCTTGTTGGCTATTTGTCTGGTCTGTCAGCTGGGAGTGAGTGGATGGACGAGTACCTCTGCGTGAACGCGACTTTTCATGGGACGGTGAGAGGGTTCTCCAATGGAGTGACGTTTGAAGGACCCGGAGCAGGGGCGGGGTGGCCTGCTGCCCGAAGTGGACAGAATCAGCCGTACCATTTCTTACACAAAAGGTTCACTCTAGTGGTGATGGCGGTCATCCACGATGAGCCGAAGAAACGCACCCCCATTCCTTTGATTCGTGTGGTGATGGATGACGGGGACAGGACTGTGCTATTTGGTGTGTTTTCACCCATGATGGGAGGTGGATGACTGTAATTCATAGTGGCGGTAGACAAGTACTTCCAACAGGGTGGGACCCAGGAAAACCGTGTCAGGTGGTGCTGCGACACGACACGGGCCATTGGGATTTGTACATTAACGCGAGGGCGGCTTACCTTGGCACCTACAAGGGGTCTCTTCTCCAAACAAACAGTATTTCACACATCCAATTCCGCGGGGAGAGTGGGTAAGTTGCAGAATCCAGCCATTTGTCACTCTTCAACGCCCGTTTGTATAACCGAAGACTCAATTCCAAGCATATGAGATGGCTCATGGTCGGCGAGGCAGGCCAAAAATACGATGATGGCAGCTCTTATTCTGCGAGTGCGTCGGAGGAAGGAAGCAGAGGCGGCAGCTCCAATTCTGAAAGTTCATCGCAGAAGGAAAGTGAGGAGGTGAGCTTTTTGCATGAGAATGTGTCTTGGGTGCTGTTACTTCTGCTGGGGCTTTGCGGCTCTTTACTGATATTAAAACGGCGTTGTTGCTGTCTCCGGCGGGACGAAATATTTTTTCTGCGCTTTGCTTTGAAATATTTGAAGACTTTTGTGGACGATTTTCATTTTGATTTTTGTTGGAAGACGTTATATAAAAAGTAATGTCTGGGTCTCCGTCTGCGGTTACCGACGTGGAGACGTGTTTTTTTTTTTTTTTCCTTTCTTTCCGTTAACTTTGTAGTCTTGCGAAAACAACTGGAGTTGCGGATTGTTTTCTTCCTAACGATTACTGGGGGCTGGTGGCACTTTGCGCGGCGCCGGTGCGTGTCGGTGAAAATGAAGGGTGAGTGCTGGTGGGTGTGTGGGAGCAGCGAGTAAAGTGTTCCGGTGGAATATAACCGATGAACGTTCGGGGGGGTTAATAGGCCGAAGTAAATACATGGATGCCTACACACAGGGACATATGTGCGTGCATGTATCTATGTGTGTGTGTCTTCTTCTTGGCGCCAAAGAGACACACGAATTTTAGAGGTCCCACGAGGATCCTCTGCGAAAAGTTGTATTTATTGACTTGTTTTGATTTTCATTTACCTCTGAGTATAAATGAGGATGGCGTTGAATTAAAATTCTTCCATTTTTTTTTTTTACTTCTCAAAAAGAGATTGTTTAGTGATTTTTTTTTTTTTTTGCTTTCCTCCTTTGGCTGCTATGCCGTCTCGAATGTCATCCGCTTTCTTCTTTCTTTTTGGAGCTCTGCCGTTTATTTCTTTCTTCTTTTTTTTTCACACGAGAGGGCCCGAGGAGCGGGAGATGCGACGCTTCGCCGCACCCGACACTTCAGCGGCTGCTCTTCTGCATGATGCTATTTTTTTTTTCTTTTGTCTCCCTCTCTCTCTCTCTCTGTGTGTGTGTGTGTGTGTGCGTTCTCTACCCGTGTGCGAGCTTTTTTTCTTTTTGCACCTTTGATTCTACGTGCTGGTCCTATTTGGAAGCATCTGCTGGTGTCTGCGTGCGCACAGCGCTCCCCTGTGTTTGGCCGCCCTGCCTCTGCATCCCGTTCCCGCTGCGTACGTGGCGTCGTTCATCTCGGGCCGGGGGCAGTTGCGACGGTGAAAACTTTGATATTTCATTGATTCTCGGCAGCGACGGATTGTCGAGCCGCCGCGTCGGCCCGGGGCGGATGCGTGGCGGGTGTGTGTTTCACTTTTTTTGCCGCGACGTCCTCTGCGGGTGCCGGGGGTCTCTGATTTTAAAGGACTCCACTCGGCGGTGGGGGCGGATGTGCGGGCCATTGGATTTATTTGGTGGAAAGTGAAGGAAAGAAGGTTGAAACGGATGTGACATGTGGGTAGCCGCGTCCCGCACGCTTTCCCCAGCGCTGTCACTTTTTTTTTTTGTTATTTTGAGGAGTTTTTGAGGGGGGAGGAAGCGATTGCGATGCGCGTGTTGAACTTTAGAGCAAAGGCTAGCGGGATGGATGTGTGGCCAGACGGGGCCGAGTGGCAGACGACGCGTTTTTCCGGCCCACTCCATTTCTTAATGGATTTGTTTTTGCCTTCAAAAGAAAAGAAAAACGTGTTGGGAGGCGGCTGGTGCAGGTGCATTTTTAGATTTATTTTGCCGTCGCCCCGCTCCGACCCTGCCGCCCGCTACGTGGTGAGGGGTCCGGCGGTTGCGGGGCCGCAAAGGCTGCCACCCGCGACCTCGCAGCGAACCGACTGGTGCCTCATAAAATGTTTGTCTCTTTTCTCTTTTCTTGAAGCTTGCACTCGTGTGTTTAGCGTGTGTGTGTGTGTGTGTGTGCAATGCGTGCTTGATGCGTCTCCTCTGAGGTGTGGGGGCTGCTGGGTGTGTGCCGAGCCAGGCTGCCACCTCTCTTTTGCGTAGTATCTCCTTGTGGGGCTGGGGAACGAGGCCGCAGCCGGGGGCGCGCAGCTGGGGAGTTGCCGCGTCGTTCTTCCACGGACCGGGAGGGTGCAGAGAGCTGCGGCTACGCGACGTTTCACCGCAACACCACGACGGAGCCCACGCCAATAAGCCTTGCGGATGTTTTGACTGGCACGCGCTGTTCCTCTTGGCGCCATTGTTTCCCTACCCCCGAGCTTCGGTGCAGACTCTCTGTCGATACTAGTTGCTATCGATTGCGGACACACCCATTGATTGAAGCGGCCGACACCCCAGCCCATTGCAGGTGCTTCTGGCATTACTGCCGCACCGCCCCAACAGCTGGTGCAGTGGGACTGGGGACGAGAACACGGCAAAAAAATTTCAGTCAGATGGTACTGGCAGCCCTGTCAGCGTCTCGCCGACCAAAACGACCTACCCACACCACCAGCGAGCACAGGAATCGCCGGGACAGGGAAGGCATTGAGGGAGTGTCAGGACACCAGTTGTTTTCTAACATCACTCTCAGTGAAACAGCCGGAAGAATTCACGACAACATCATTCACTAAAAACGAAAAAGGAACAACGACCACCGCCGACAGATACAGCAGTACCGTGGCCTCCCACACCACCTCCCCTTTTTGCTCTTGCATCTTCCTGTTACGCGTGCTGCTGCTGCTGCGGTGGTGGCTGTGCGTGCATGAAGTGGTGTGCGCCGAATATGAACTAAGGCCGAATGCAACTGAACTGTTTTTGTGATGAATATTGGCTGCACTTCCCGTGGACCAACAATTCTCGTGGTGTGCGGGGATATCTTTCCCTTTGTTGTTGCTTTGGCTTTTTGGGCTGCTGTGTGCGCTGCATCTATTCTCGTGTGTGTGTGCGTACTCTCCGTGAGGGGTGCAGACACGACGGACCGCTCTCGCCGTGTGTGCATGCGGTGGAGCCTTGTGTGCCGCTCCTGTTTGCTTCTCCCTCTTCCATCTGTGTGTGTGTGCCTGCTGCCGTGGATTGGAGTGTGTGTCGTGCGTGGTGTGCGGCGTACGGTGCATGCCTGGCTGCTGCTCTCTCCTCATGTGGTTTGCCCTCTGTGTGTGTGTCTGCCGCACCTCTCGTCTCCCCTGTTGCTCTCCATGTCCCTCACTGTGCAGATAAGCTCCACACCACTGAATGACCACACTCACGATGATGACGTGCCGTCTGCTGTACGCCCTGCTGGTGCTCGCACTGTGCTGTTGCCCGTCCGTGTGCGTGACAGCAAGTGGCCAGAAGGCTGAGAAGGAAACTACCACTACGACTACAACAACGAAGCCACCAACTACGACGACCACGACAACAACGAAGCCACCAACTACAACGACCACGACAACCACGAAGCCACCAACTACGACGACCACCACGACCACTGCGCCGGAGGCAACAAGCATTACGACTACAGAGGCGCCAAATACGACGACCACCCGTGCGCCGTCAAGTATTCGCAGAATTGACGGCAGCCTCGGCAGCTCTGCGTGGGCGTGTGCCCCGCTGCTTCTCGCCGCATCCGCGTTGGCGTACACCACTCTGGGCTGAAGAGGTGTGTGCGGGCTGTGCGAGCACTCAGCCACGGGGACATGTGTACGTCTACCGTGGTCCGATGTATAAAGTAAGAGTACTTATGATGATTGTGTTCTGCTTTGCTTGCTTCTGCTGCCGTGCTGTGTGCTCCGCGTTGTGCACCACATCCGTCACGTTGAACGCATCCCAGACACACTAATATGCATGCGCACTGGAGCCTTGGGTTTGTTTTTTCTTGTTCTTTAATTCTTTTTTTAATCCTTTTTTTCGTTGTTCCTGCTTTTATAGCTTCTGTGTTGTGGGGCGGTGTGCGAGTTCTGCAATTGTACTGATTCCATCTGTCTCATGTTGTGTTTGTTGCTGCTGCTGCTGCTGCTGGGCTGCTGCCGTTTGTTTTTGTGCGGTGGCTGTGCGTGGTGTGGCGGTCGTATTTCTCTCTTTGTTTTCGCTGCGTTGACGGGGAGTTGGTTTGTGCTGGAGGCCGCACGCAAGTGACGGGAGTGATGGCGATGATGGTGCCTGGCCGTGTGCTGCTGGTGTGTGCCCTCTGCGTGCTGTGCTGCGGTGCCAGCGGTGTCGGCCGATGCTGGGGATTATGATGTTTCTTGTGGTCATGGAACTTTGTGCGGAATTGGAGTTGGTGTTGACGGTGAACCCTCCGCCCGGTTGGTAGTCATGCATCTACTGGAGGTACAAAGGGTGAATGTTTTCAGGGAGGTGGAGGTGACTCTCCGGGTTCTGCTGCACCCGCTTGCACATCGTCACCTGCCGATGCGGAAGAGTCCGAGGGTGGGACTTTAAATGGCCCCAAGAAGGATGTATCCCGTGTTGAGGAGGACCCCGATGCAGCGCAGGACCCGCTACAACCAGGTCTCACGTTGTGTCGGCAGCCGAGGTGATGGCGGCACAACCGTGAAGGAAGAAGTGACTGGTGTGGAGAGCAGCGACACTGCTGACTTGCCCCCAACGAGAGCCACGCACCACAAGCAGCACGACCAGTGACGGGGGAGCCGGAAGGCACAGGGAAACGGGCAGCATCGAAGGCGTTATCAACGCCAGCAGAGGGACGAGGGATATCAGGCGCGACGGATCAAAAAGTGGACTCACCAAAGGAGGAAGCCGCGTGCAGCGCAGGTGCCACAAACAGTCGGTCACCTGTCGGTCAACAACAAACCGAACCTTCATCTCCCTCTACGAGTGGAAGTACTTCGACTTTGACTCCGGAAGAGGAACCCGCTGGGGAGCCCCATTCCAGCAATAACCAGCCATCTGGTGACGCGGTACCGAAGGAAGGAACGCAACATGAAGGTCTTGCTGGCGGCGAAACGCAAGTATAGCCCGCAGCTACTAACGACGAATCGATTGGAACAGCACCGACTGGCGACGGCGACATCAGTACCGTGGCCTCCCACACCACCTCCCCTTTTTGCTCTTGCATCTTCCTGTTACGTATGCAGCTGCTGCTGCGGTGGTGGCTGTGCGTGCATAAGTGGTATGCGCTGAATATGAACTAAGGCCGAATGCAACTGAACTGTTTTTGTGATGAATATTGGCTGCACTTCCCGTGGACCAACAATTCTCGTGGTGTGCGGGGATATCTTTCCCTTTGTTGTTGCTTTGGCTTTTTGGGCTGCTGTGTGCGCTGCATCTATTCTCGTGTGTGTGTGCGTACTCTCCGTGAGGGGTGCCGACACGACGGACCGCTCTCGCCGTGTGTGCATGCGGTGGAGCCTTGTGTGCCGCTCCTGTTTGCTTCTCCCTCTTCCATCTGTGTGTGTGTGCCTGCTGCCGTGGATTGGAGTGTGTGTCGTGCGTGGTGTGCGGCGTACGGTGCATGCCTGGCTGCTGCTCTCTCCTCATGTGGTTTGCCCTCTGTGTGTGTGTCCGCCGCACCTCTCGTCTCCCCTGTTGCTCTCCATGTCCCTCACTGTGCAGATAAGCTCCACACCACTGAATGACCACACTCACGATGATGACGTGCCGTCTGCTGTACGCCCTGCTGGTGCTCGCCCTGTGCTGTTGCCCGTCCGTGTGCAGCGAAGAGGTTAAGCAGGACAATACCACTACGACTACCACAACAAAGCCACCAACTACGACGACCACTACCACAACAAAGCCACCAACTACGACGACCACGACAACCACGACCACCACGACCACGGCCACCACGACCACTGCGCCGGAGGCACCAAGCATTACGACTACAGAGGCGCCAAGTACGACGACCACCCGTGCGCCGTCAAGTATTCGCAGAATTGACGGCAGCCTCGGCAGCTCTGCGTGGGCGTGTGCCCCGCTGCTTCTCGCCGCATCCGCGCTGGCGTACACCACTCTGGGCTGAAGAGGTGTGTGCGGGCTGTGCGAGCACTCAGCCACGGGGACATGTGTACGTCTACCGTGGTCCGATGTATAAAGTAAGAGTAGTTATGATGATTGTGTTTTGCTTGCTTCTGCTGCCATGCTGTGTGCTCCGCGTTGTGCACCACATCCGTCACGTTGAACGCATCCCAGACACACCCATATGCATGCGCACTGGAGCCTTGGGTTTGTTTTTTCTTGTTCTTTAATTCTTTTTTTAATTCTTTTTTTCGTTGTTCCTGCTTTTATAGCTTCTGTGTTGTGGGGCGGTGTGCGAGTTCTGCAATTGTACTGATTCCATCTGTCTCATGTTGTGTTTGTTGCTGCTGCTGCTGCTGCTGGGCTGCTGCCGTTTTTTTTTGTGCGGTGGCTGTGCGTGGTGTGGCGGTCGTATTTCTCTCTTTGTTTTCGCTGCGTTGACGGGGAGTTGGTTTGTGCTGGAGGCCACACGCAAGTGACGGGAGTGATGGCGATGATGGTGCCTGGCCGTGTGCTGCTGGTGTGTGCCCTCTGCGTGCTGTGCTGCGGTGCCAGCGGTGTCGGCCGATGCTGGGGATTATGATGTTTCTTGTGGTCATGGAACTTTGTGCGGAATTGGAGTTGGTGTTGACGGTGAACCCTCCGCCCGGTTGGTAGTCATGCATCTACTGGAGGTACAAAGGGTGAATGTTTTCAGGGAGGTGGAGGTGACTCTCCGGGTTCTGCTACACCCGCTTGCACATCGTCACCTGCCGATGCGGAAGAGCCCGAGGGTGGGGCTTTAAATGGCCCCAAGAAGGATGTATCCCGTGTTGAGGAGGACCCCGATGCAGCGCAGGACCCGCTACAACCAGGTCTCACGTTGTGTCGGCAGCCGAGGTGATGGCGGCACAACCGTGAAGGAAGAAGTGACTGGTGTGGAGAGCAGCGACACTGCTGACTTGCCCCCAACGAGAGCCACGCACCACAAGCAGCACGACCAGTGACGGGGGAGCCGGAAGGCACAGGGAAACAGGCAGCATCGAAGGCGTTATCAACGCCAGCAGAGGGACGAGGGATATCAGGCGCGACGGATCAAAAAGTGGACTCACCAAAGGAGGAAGCCGCGTGCAGCGCAGGTGCCACAAACAGTCGGTCACCTGTCGGTCAACAACAAACCGAACCTTCATCTCCCTCTACGAGTGGAAGTACTTCGACTTTGACTCCGGAAG